GTGGGACTTATTTATTGCCCTCCCTGAAAATTATGCTCTGGTCCGCCCATGATAGATCGAAAAGCAGAAACATACGAGTCATTGTGTCAAATTTCTCTTCTCTATTTCACCCTTTCTAAGTTCGTGATCATGACGTTTTAACATGTTGTTGATTTGGTGAAGCGCTTTCTTAATTGTAATTATTCTATCTAGCCTAATATTTCAAAAATTTAATCATATGGTATTAGGTGGTCGTGTTAAAGCAATATTGTCGGCTGGTGCAATTCTAAGCGAAGATACACAACGTTTTGTTCAAACTGTACTCTGTGCAAAATTATTTCAAGGATACGGGCTTACCGAAACTTGTGCTGCTGGATTAATAGTTGATCACTATTCTGATGTTGCACCGCTCTTGTCATTAACATCATATTTGTTTATCCGATATAAAGTATTGCATATTTGTGTAGAAAATTTTGTAACCGAAAGTCCTATCGAGATACTGAACTTCATTATGATTCTTGTGGACAACGTTTATAACGCTAGACTTTTTTGAGTCCATCTCGTCTTGAAATTATTACTTCTATTGTTGATGATGTCTTCTTTATTGATATCAGTAATTTGTCTACCATGCTGTCACGTCATTTATTTTTCTGGTCCAGAAAAAATTAATCCAATAAATAAAAATAATATTGAATTTCATTGTTTACAACAATTGGAAGAGAAAGGAGAACAAATAAAAATTGGTACGTAGTAATTATACTGTTCTTACTCTTTATCATATCTGCAATCTTTCTGTTTTTTAGATGATTTGACATTAAATAAAGGTCCAAAACCTCAAGATATTGCTGTAATCATGTATACAAGTGGAAGTACAGGAGTTCCAAAAGGTAAGAATGATAAATTTCTGTCTTGTTCTAGCCATTAATATTAATATATCTGCTCAGGTGTGTTAATAACTCATGAAAATGTGATTGCTGGAATGACTGGTCAAAAAGAACGTTTGTTTCCAGTGATTGATTTGGAAATGGATATTTATATTGCTTATTTGCCATTAGCTCATATTCTAGAATTAAGTTGTGGTAAGCATTTTTCTCTGCTTTTTGAAATTTTTTGTCTGTCTAATGTCACTGTATATAAGCTACAATTTCTGCTATTGATTTATTATCGATGTAGTATTTTTGTACGATTGTAGTCTTGCTTATATTACTTCCAAAGATATTGAAATGGTACTTGACATAAAGGCATTATAACACGGTCTTCAAGTAATCTCTTCGTTTGTCTATTTCCAGAATTATTAGTGTATTACATCGGTTTAAAATGCGGTTATTCTTCACCTCAAACTCTAACTGATCAATCAACAGCCATTAAACGTGGACAGAAAGGTGATTTACAAGTGTTGAAACCACATTTAATGACTTGCGTTCCGGGAAGTCTTTTACACTATCTTTTTCTTTAATCCAAGCTATTCTAATTTTATTAACTTTTAGATAATTCTTGATCGTATTCATAAAGCAGTTAATGAAAAAATCGAACAAGCTAGTTTTTTCAAACGATATTTGTTTCATTTATCGTATAAAATTAAAGTGAAGCGACTAGAAAAAGGATTGGATAGCCCATATTTAGACAAGTAAGTTTATTTAATTACTTATATTATATTTCAATGGAGAAGATCTGTATTAAAAAACTAAAGTTACACCTGCATTCCATTTTTGAAATAAACTGGAATTGCCATAAATTAAGAATACCTATATACGTTATTTTTCATGTCACGAAACCATAATTAGCATTATTGTTCCAGAGTCTTGATATAGCTATATAGCGCTTACAGTTAAACAGCATCATGGTTTTCAGGATCGATAGATCTCAGTGGTGGATCAACCGTGGAACAATTAGAGGTAATTGATCCCTCCAAAAAACTTTTCAAAGGGCAATAAGTTTTTATTACCGCTCCTCCATCGCAGATAAAATTTTCACTGAACTGGAGGCGCTTATAATGTGTACAGCAAGCAACACGACTGCATCTTCAACTACACTGCACCTGACTGGAACAAAGAGAACATAATACAAAAAAGTTTTTTTGTAATGTCAGTTTAGTGGGACTTATTTATTGCCCTCCCTGAAAATTATGCTCTGGTCCGCCCATGATAGATCGAAAAGCAGAAACATACGAGTCATTGTGTCAAATTTCTCTTCTCTATTTCACCCTTTCTAAGTTCGTGATCATGACGTTTTAACATGTTGTTGATTTGGTGAAGCGCTTTCTTAATTGTAATTATTCTATCTAGCCTAATATTTCAAAAATTTAATCATATGGTATTAGGTGGTCGTGTTAAAGCAATATTGTCGGCTGGTGCAATTCTAAGCGAAGATACACAACGTTTTGTTCAAACTGTACTCTGTGCAAAATTATTTCAAGGATACGGGCTTACCGAAACTTGTGCTGCTGGATTAATAGTTGATCACTATTCTGATGTTGCACCGCTCTTGTCATTAACATCATATTTGTTTATCCGATATAAAGTATTGCATATTTGTGTAGAAAATTTTGTAACCGAAAGTCCTATCGAGATACTGAACTTCATTATGATTCTTGTGGACAACGTTTATAACGCTAGACTTTTTTGAGTCCATCTCGTCTTGAAATTATTACTTCTATTGTTGATGATGTCTTCTTTATTGATATCAGTAATTTGTCTACCATGCTGGCACGTCAGTTTACATTCATTCATATTTCTAAAACGTATGAAATTCGAATCTATATGGTGTTATTGATTCATTTACTATAGGACAGTATTGTAATACGGATAAGCCAAATCCTCGTGGTGAAATTTTAATCGGTGGCAGAGCAATAGCTGTCGGCTATTTTGCTGAAGCAGCCAAAGAGAATACGAATTTTAAAGAAATTGAGGATACAAGATATTTTTCAACAGGAGATATTGGCGAAATATTCCCAGATGGAACAGTGAAAATCATTGGTAAGATCAACTAAAAAGTAGCGTGAGAAGTTAAGAGTACTCCTATTTCTTGTCTTGTTACAGAATCGTAACAACTGATCGGAGAGAGATAGAATTTTTATCAAAGTATCTTCTCGAAAAATAAAACCGCCGTAGTTTTCTAAAAACCTTAGAACTCACATTTAGGTATGGTTTCCCGATTTTTCATTGTGTATCGTACCAACCAATGTAAACTTTGTCTGTTTGAGCTCAAAATTTTATTATGGGTACTAGGCTCCAATACACCTAGGTATTTTTCGATTTAGCTTTCCAAGATGTAATGGTGAGGACGTGACGAAAATATGCTTGAGGGTTAAGTCGAAAATATCTGGACGGTTATACACGATGCGGAGAGCTAGATGTTCCAGTTTGAAGAAAACTCTACAGTCTAAAACATTGGTTACTTGGAAAAAAAGTCTATGATACAGAAAAACAAAAAAAATTTCTAAACTTAGAATTTCGAGTTTTTCAAAATAAAGTGCCAGACATGAAAACTTTCACATTTTTACAAAGAAAGAGGCGTGGAGAGCTTGAAGTGATCTGAAATTGTAGAGAACATTTGACTCTATGATACACCAAGTCTAACTCAAAAGTCGATTTTATGGAGACGGTCGGTACACTTAGATTTTAACTTTTAAAGTGCTTACTTAGATCGTAAAAAAGATTTGATCAAATTACAAGGTGGTGAATATGTTTCGTTAGCAAAAGTCGAAATGGTTATTGGAAAAGTTTCGTTTGTTGAAAATTGTTGTGTATGTGCGAGTTCATCAGCAGAATATACCGTCGTACTCATATCACCAAGCCAAAAGAACATGGCTGTATGTATTTTCAAAAAGCAAAATATATGCAGAATACTAATACTTGCATTCTAGTCTTACACTGAGAAATATTTCAATACAAAAGAATGGGAAAAATTAACAGAGGATGAAGAGTTCGTAAATCAAGTGTTAAAAGACGTCCAAGATGTATGTAGAAAAGGTAATGACGCAACTTTGTTAAAGTAGTGTTTCATTTTCTTGTGGAAATTAGTATCGTCTAAGATAACTTGTTTGTTTTTATTATAACTTTTTATTTAGGTAGTATTGAACGTTTTGAAACACCTCAACGTGTAAAAATTGTCTCTGATCCTTGGACACCTGAAAATGGTTTACTTACTAATGCATTGAAATTAAAACGTAAAACCATTGAGCGAAAATATCAGGATGATATCGAGCTGTTATACGAAGACATTAGCCAACAAAAATCAAATAAGAAAGCTGATAGTTTTCGTGTAAGTTCATCAGAATCAAACAAAACTAGACAATAGTAGACAACAAAAATAGCCGCCCAAAGGAATAAATAAAGAAAATGAAGATTAGGAAAATGATTTATCAAAAGAAGAAAATAAAAAAATGAACAATAGTTAAAAGAACCAATCGATGTTTTAAAAAAAAAATCAAGACATTAGTCTGGTTACACGTTTAGGTGCTACTTTATAGGATATAAGAGATCCTTAAATATGTATCGATACCAAATAATAAAAAAGAAAAATAATAATATCAGGAAAGAATCAAAAGAAAGAGAAAAAATAACGACGTATACGTGCCCAAAAAATGGCAATAAATAGAACTTAATAAAGTGATAAATTAAGTAGGACAGGGCAACTTTATACAGGTAGCACGAGACGAGCGGAAAAAGCACGAGATTTATAAATGAAAGTTAGGAAGACTACATGGATGTTCTTGATATAAAGACAAACCGAATAGTATATTTTAGAGATTTTGAAGAGAATCGCGGATGAAGTGACCGTCTCGAATTTTATGCAGTTTTTTGTTAATTTGCTTTTCACTAAAATTCCAACATTCTTCTGCCAATTTCTTGTTATAAGCTACTGGACTCGCCTCAGCTTGTTGACAATCAACATAAAATTGTCCGGATATGACATTACTTGATAAGCAACAATATAAACTTGTGAGAACACCTTGATACAGTGTTTTTGCCACTAAATAAGATAAGAATTTCATCAGTAACAACACTATTTTTGGAGTCTCACGGAATAGTTCTGTATATCGTATCAGGATGGAGAAAATAGGCCGTAATTCCTCGATTTATACCAAATTGAATTTCGAAGCTGTCAGTTGTCAGTAAATGGACTTTACGGAATGTCGCCGCATTGTTCAATAAAATGTCGACACGCTGTTCATTTTTGATAATTTGATCGGCGAATCTTTTCACCGCCGATAGATCCGATAAATCTAAATTATAGCCGACTATTCTTCCTGCACTAACTTTTGCTTCATGTTGAATTTGTACAGCTACTTTTTCTGCTCTTGCATGACCGCGAATACCGACAATCACTTTTGCTCCTAACTTTGCCAGTTTAATCGGCAATACACGACCAATTCCGGATGCAGCCCCCGTAATGATAACCGCTTTTTCTGATGCACTATTGTTCGTGAGTATGTACTCCTGGCCATGTGCTAATTTCCAACAAATAAATCCAACGACGAGTAGGTAAATAGTAAACGTTAACAGCGAGAAAGATTGAGTAAAAATGACGATGAGTGAGCCGACAATAAAGCTTGCTAATAAAAATAGCAATGATTTTGTGTCACGCTGAGTTAAAATTAGTTTCAAATACCTAATTAAACTTCACTTTGAGATAAGACATAAGATATCACCGATTTGTGCTGTTGTTGTATCCATAGTCTAAAAGAAATTGAAAAAAGATAACTTTCTTTAAGCCTTTCCATCTATTTTACTGATGTCAATAGCCCCAATATGAATAGAAAAACGAGTTTGTTCGACTACACTTTCATTTTTTTTTAGAAAAAGCAATTCTGCTCAATAAATTCATAAAATCTTCCAGGCGATTTCGATCAAAACTAATATCATGATCATTCCAAATTAACTATTACACACCATTTAATAAATGCAATCGACATAACTTAACAGTGTAGTAGTGTTTTAAACCCAATTTTAAGCCCCATCGGACACTCAATAAAATTTTGCTAACCTGACGAACACGAGAGTTTTGTGAGTAACGGCGAACTAATCTTTGAGTGAATGAAAAATATATAGACTATGAATGATTGACTAATAGTTTCGTTCAAGACCAAAAGTAATCTGCCGTTACTGACGGGTAATAATCCAAGTAAAAATAAGATTTTCACAACAGCTTTATGTAAAGTCATTTGAATACTTATTTATTACGACATTTCGAAAATTTATATTTTCATTTTCAAGGATTGTACACTACATCGGAATAAATAAATTAAAATGAAAATCAAATTTTCACCATTACAAATATTTTATCCGAAACAACCAAGCCGTCAGAAAAAACCAGATCAACCTCACAAAGATTAGGACAAGAAGCACATCAACAGCTTTTTGAGCAATTACAGCAATTCGCTGATATTGATACTGAACAACACAAACAAACAATTTAACTTTACCATCCAACAATGACCAACGAATTAGAAAATTAATTAATTAAAGAGATTTTAGCTATATTAGCAAGTTTTCCATGAATGATAATGAACAAAGTCTTCCAGATTGGGCATCCTTTACAAATGAATTTAATGGATTTAAATAATCATAAGCAAGGTCGTGAAGAATTTAACCATTATGACGATATTATCAAATTGTGTCATGAATATGGTCTCCAAGTGATGAAAGCACAATAGCTAAACTATCCGTTGTTTTTCGAAAGTTTATGTAGTCTTAGTTAATTACAAAGAAACATCGCGCACTTGATTTCACGTAAAATCGAAAGAAATTTATGATTTTCATAAAAAAGACTCAAAAGGTCGAGTCAGTTTTCTATTTCGACTTTATAGAAATCATGCCACCGTTGGCAATTTCATAAATATAAAATCTTCCACTATTAACTATATATCGTCTAGCTATATGGACTCGTTTAAAACCAAAAACGAGAATTAATTTATAGAATCAATTTTCGTTCTCTTTGTATCTTCAGCCTTATTTGTATTGATGACGTTCCGTCTCCTGTATAAATTATCGACTTTCGCAGAAATCTTTCACTCAAAGATTAGTTCACCGTTACTCACAAAGCTCTTGTGTTTGTTGGGTTATCAAAATTTTATTGAGTGTCTGATGGTGCTTAAAATTGAGTTTAAACACTAATCTGTAACACCCAATAATTCTATACACCATGGATGGAAAACTACACATTGGAATTCTCGGTTGTGGGTTAGTGGTTTAGTAACGTTGAAAGAACTCCTCAACGAAGGACATAGCGGAATTATATTTGAGAAATCAAGTGTTATTGGTGGTATATTCACTGACGTTTATCAACAAGGTTTCATGGTTAGTAGTAATGCGATAACAATGTTTAGTGATTTTGTTGGTGGTCATAGTTATGAAGGTGATAAAAAGTTATTAACAAAACTCCGATGTTGGAGTTTTGGTGAATATTCTAAATATTTGAATGATTATGCTGACCATTTCAAATTGCGATCACGTATCCATTTTAGAACTACGGTTCAAACCGTATGGAAAGATGTGACAACAAGATGTGACAGCTACCATATCACGGTGCCACAATAACTGCGGCTATTGCAGAACAATCTAGCGATCCCGTCGCCAGCCATGGTTCGCGACTTGATCATCATTTATTCGAAGTATCATTAGAAGTAAAGGCGTTTTGAAAAGTCGCCGACTAGTAATCAGAATTTTAGGGCCCGAATCATGGACAAAAAGTGGAGGTCTGAGTCCGACTCGGCCTTTTTCCGTTGTTTACAGTCTTTTGCATCTTTAACGCTAATACGCTTGATTGACAAATTGCTATAAATATGCTTCTAACATAAGTCTATCATTTAAATTTTCATGGTTTTTTCCCAGTGTTTGTATGTACTAGATAACCTGTTTATTCAGCTACATATTAGAAAAAGAAATATTATAATATTCATCCCGAACATGTTTATACTAAATATAATGGTTTTATTGATGTATTTAACCATATGCTCTCGGAATGAAAGAGAAGGCCAAAGAAAACTTGAGGTCCGAGCCCGGCCCGCCCAATCGGTCTTAAAAGTTTTCTAGGTGTGCATTACCGTTGGGTATTGACCGAGTCTGCTGGTGATATAAAGGCAGTCTACTCACCTTTGAGCAAAGTTTGCATTGAAAATCATTCGGTGTTATTTGTTCTGCTTATTCGAATACTGGCGAAGGATTAGCATTGTTAAACTTTGGCTTTGTCGATGTGGTAACTTCATCTTCGCCAATGTCACTATTTCGGCTTCCATTATCACCCTGTTGAGTCACTGTTGCCGGCTGATTAGTAATATCGCCTGTATTTCTTTTGTTTTTGATACTTCGTCGACTTCTTCCTGGTTGAAATCTGGCGGTGATCAGATAATTATCTTTTGATGACGAGGAAGAGCCTTTAAACACTTTCAATATACTCAATTTGAATTTTGTGTTTATAATATGATAGCGCATCTACATCAATCTTCACTATATATAGTTTAATGTTCCCTTTACATACTACACCATCGTCTTGACTCTCCTTCTTCCTGTTCTTATTCATGTACATGGCAAAAACACATACACCATAGTATCGCAGCACTTTTTACTTTTAAAAGAAAATATAGAGTAACAAACACCCCCTTGGGCATGTAAAATCATGTTGATTTGTCTGTAAAGACTAAAAGCTATCAAATAAAGATTTTCTATATGGAAAACATGGCAGTATCGTCTGTGGGAACTGAACTAGATGAATTCGTTAGTGTAAAAAATAAAATAAATGAGTATCAATTTTTCTACATCTTGGTTACGAAGAAAACAGTAAGTGATGACCAGTTTTAGCTACTAGGAACGGTACCCGGTCACCGGTTACTAGAAACGAGAACTGGAACTGTCTTACCCCTACCCGTGAAAGGGCGTACCCTGTAGTTTCGAGTCATTCATAATGTTTTTCAGTGAATTATGAGGTTTTAAAACGTTTATGAGATTATCAAACCCTAAATTATATGATCCGAGAAGTCTCAAGTGATGTCGAGAAAATCGTTCGTGCGACCTAACAGACAAAGATAGAAGTATGACATTTGCTTTTACATTTGCAGAATAAATGTCACTCTTTCTAGACATGGATTAGCATGAAAAGTCTAATGGGATTTTTCGAAACTGCTACTCTACGAATTTCCCTCGATACAGAACGCCACGCAGACCTCGCTTTTTAGTTTGATTTTTTCGTAGGTTGATTGTCTTCAAATTTCCACTAACAGGTGGTAAAAATCGTATGTTTAAATCACTTTTCTATCTTGTATCATCCTTGCCAAGTACACTCTACTTTGAAATGAAATAATGGTATGGAAAATGCTAGCACAACCATCAATATTTATACTTCACTAATAAGTAGTAAAGCATTTCTATTCTACTTCAATTCTACATGTCCTACTCTGAGGGAAGGAATTTTAACAAGTCTTGCGTTCGGTCGTATGTTCTTTATGTATTAAAAATATATTTAATGATAGTTCATTGTGTGAGTCACTAATAAAACAACAAACTGACACAAAAATATCCGTAAAAAGTTTTTAGTCACTTGTAGACATGTCTACTTCTCATATCTGGTATCTGAGTTGTTTGCTTGAATAATATTATGATGATTGAGAATGTTTAGTAGAATTTTATTTTTTATGTTCAATTTTGATTGTACGATCTTTCGGTGTCGTCTTTGGTAGAAGTGCTTCAATGGATAAAATTCCATCTTCAGAAAATGTTGACTTTAAATCTTCAATATTTAATTCAGCTGGTAACGAATAAGATTGACTAAATTCACGTAATGAATATGCTCCTTTATCCTTAAAAAGAAATACAGATAATTGACGCTGTAGCCACGTTAGATATGCACACATACTTTTTTCTCCTTTTTGGCTGTGATTGTTAAAACTCCATTTTCCGTTATTATTTTCACTTCTTCTGGCTCAAAATCGTGCATATCAAACGATATCAAAAACTTTCTTGTTCCATCCGATTCGGTAACAATCATATCTGATTGTGCAGGACGTTCTAAAATATAATAAAACAAAAGATATTAAACATTTTTTTCACCCATTATACACTAACCATTTGGATACTGCATAACACGAGCTAAGTTTCTGCTATTTGAACCAAATTCTGATCGATTCGATAATCCATTAAATTGACGTTGTGCACGATCGAGTTCTTTTTCAAAATTACGAAATACATTTGAAGCTGCACCGAATAATACCTCAACTGGATTTCGATTATAATAGCGTATAGGTGGTAATACAGACGTAATTCGTCGGTTCTTTATTAATAATAAAACTATGCGTGGGAAACTGAGACGCAATGCCATAATAGAAAGTAAAAGAGTCAAATATATCTACAGTTGAACGATTATTAAGTTGAAAAGTAATATAAAATGCTATCATTTTTGTCAGAAAAAATTCTTGAAACTTCTCAACAGATCTAGTTAAAGATAGCTAGTTCAGAAATGAAGTATGGACAAATTGTAATTAGTTATGTTATTATATAATATAATTATTCCCTTACTGGAAGTAAGGGTTCCTAGAAAAAAATAATGTCTGATTGTGCCGGCTGTTTCTCTTGGTCATCAAAATCGACCAATTGAGAAATAGAAAAAGCGGTGTCACAAATGAAAGATAGATTTAGACATAAAAGAAGATAGACAAAGAAAAGAAAAAGAAAAAGAATAAATTAATCCACACTAATACACGAAAAATAGAAAAAATGATGTCGCTCATTGACGGGTAGAAAAGTAGAAAATATATTCAATTCAGTCACCTTGACTGTAAAGGAAACGGTCTTATGGCCCGTTGCACTGTTGGCACGACCTAAGGTGCTCAACTGATGTCCAGTTTTCGCGACCAAACTTTCATAGTCGGTAGCGATAACACATTTAGGAGGATTCCCGAAATATTTTTACTGGATAATGCTTCCTTTTCGACTTATAGCATTTTTCGTAAAAGCCCTAAAAATCGTTAAATATACCATCTATAGAAAACTAAATTTTACAGCCGTCATATTCCAGTCTACTCAGCAGTACCAGAACTCGTACTTGCAGCATAAGTAGTATAGGTTGAGTACTACCTGTACCCAAAAACATATGTGGGTTCGACCTTCGCACGTGTGCGAAATCATTCCTGCAAAATTGGAAAATATTAATAATGGTCGTACTTTCTGGCTAATTCTTCTATGAAAAGTAAAAGTATTTGACTAAACACGAGTTTCACTGCACAGAACACGTGTTGGTCTACTCAAATTTATAGCTTTGGTCTGAGAAACATAGTTCACTAGGGGTGTAGGCCATCACAAGTTCAGAGAAAGTGAAAATAGAGCATTTTAAAACTAAATTTTTATGTCCGCAGGCACTTGTTATATAAATCGACGTAGTCAGCCGTATACTACACCACTTGGACTATCTGACGCTAACTTCCGTTTTGGAGCATGTTCATAGATGGGTTACCGGGAGAGGCTGAAAGGATCCCAAAAACGACGAAAAACGAACATCGCAAAATAAAATCTTGTAGTATCTCAACTGAAACGGCAAAACTTGAAAAGTTCATATATACATGTATCAATGTCATCTGGCACATGCGCAAGCATATGTTGCGGAAAAGTGCTTGTTTGTGTCAGAAAAAGCGATTAGGTATTATCGGCGGCAAAATATAAGACCGGTAGTTGTTTTTCGAATAACTCAAGGACGACAAAAGATAGAGATTTGGGATTTTCAGCAATCGAAAGAAGACAATTTTACCAATGTTTTCATAAGCAAAATCCTTTTCGAAAAATATTCGAAAGATAGGTTTTCTCGGAGGTCTTTAGAAAACCA